CCCCCCCGCAGCCCCAGTGCCTTCGCCCCACCACGTCTCACCCCTCCCGCCCTCCCCGGGGATGATCCCCGTCCCGGCTCACCCACGGAGAGGATCTCCCGGCACTTCTCGCACTCGTCCCGCATCCGCAGGCAGCCGGCCGAGTTACGCCGGATCTCCCGGCACACCATGCGCTCGTCGCTGAAGTTACGGTATTCTGTGGAGAGCCCGGCCCAGCCTCAGCACCCCAAAACACCATGGGGTGCAGGGGGGGGAGCACCACAGACCCCCCAGCCCCGGGGCAGAGCTGCGGGGCCGGCACGGCCAATGCCCCAGGGTGCCCTGAGGGGACATAAAAATGCTTTTTCCAGGGAATTTTGACCCCCCCGGCTGTTTTTTCCAAAGCAAAGCGCTCCCTGCCAACCTCCGTTTCGAAATCGCCCTTTTCCCAGCCGCCTGAGCCAGGGCGGCGGTGGCAGACGGTGACGGCACCGGTGGCAGACGGTGACGACGTCGGCGGCCGGGCTGCAACCGGCTCTGCCCGCCCAAAACAAACACCTTCCCGGGATGGCGGAGGCTCCAGCAGCCAAGATTTAGGCAGGGGGCAAAAACCCAAAAACCCAGCCCAGCTCTGCAAACAGTGGCGCTTGTGATTCCCAGGCTCCCGCGGGGATTCTCCGATGTCTCGTAGTAGGGTTGAGCTCATCCTCAAGGTTACTCACCCCCTCATAAGAAGCGGGGGGGGGGGGGGGGGGGGGGGGGGGGGGGGGGAATGCCGGGAAGCCTGGCTGTAAATCTCCTGCTTCCAGGCAAATTGGGAAGCCCACGACACCCAGCCCGTGGCGAGCACCCTACCTGGGGCAAAGCCACCCAGCGCGTGCTCCCAGCCGCCCTGCGCCTCTTCCAGCATCCGCTGGGTCATCTCGAAGAACGGTTGGAAGAGGCGGTGGAAACCGTGGTGGGGATGGTGGAAAAAGGGATGCAGCTCCCGGGAAAGCCTCTCGCTGCGCGGGGGCAAGCGGACGTGCTGGACGGGAGGGCGGAAAGCCTCGCGGAAACCGCCGAAGGGTGCTCGGAAGAAGGGATACATGCGGCCGTAGACTTGGGTGCTGTCTTGGAAGATGTCATCCACCCCATCCTCCAACAACCCAAAACGTTCTTCCAGGTCCTCGAACTGCCGTTCCTGCCGCTGGTCCCGCTCCAGCAGCGAGTCGATGCGCTCGCCGTTCACCCAGATGGAGAAGGGCGAGGAATGGTTGAGGAATTCCTCTAGCTGCCGGGCAGGGGAGCAGGATCAGGCCAAAATTTCCCCCTCCGCACCCCGCTCAGCATCACCGGGTGCTGCGGGACCGCTCACCTGCCGTCCCACCAGCCCCGAGCCGCTGTGGCACGTGCGGGAGTAGAAGCGCATGCAGGTGTGCTTGAGGCAGGGCTTGCATTCTTCCCAGAGCGCCAGCATCGTCTCGTTGCACACCTCCTGCTTCGCCGCCAGCTGCTGCTCCTTCTCCCGGGCCAGCTGCACCGCCTCCTGCAAGGCACCCGCGTCCAGCCCCCAGGGCGTCCCCCTGCTCCCGGGATCCCGGGCACGGCATCCTTCGGATGCGCCCAGGCCGGCAGCGGGGGTATCCGGGTACCAGGGTCGGAGCGACCACCCTCCTCATCCTCACTCACCTCCTTCCTCCTCTTGGTCTCCTCCAGCGTGTGCAGGATGGCTTGGTGGTCCTTACTGGTTTTGTCCATGAGGGTCTTCATCTGCTTCACCCCGTTGATGGCGTTTTCCACCTCCGTGTCGATGTATTTGCTGCCGGCTGCCGACATCTCTGGAGCGGGGGGAGGAAGGGCATCCCTCGGCCGGCCGCTCCCAAGGCGGCGGTGGGAGCCCCGCCAGGGCACGCAAATATTTGCGGGTGCGGAGTCCCCGTTTGCTCGCCAACGGCCCGATTCCCGTTCACAGAACTCAAGAAAAGTGACCCAAAATCCGGCCCGGGCTGGGGCCGCATCTCCCTGCCCGCCACCCCCAGTATCTGGGAATGGCCTCGCACCGGGGCGGCCGTGGGCTGCGCCGTTCCCGTCCGGCCATCGCCACCGGCCATCGCCACCGGCCCTCGCCCGCCTGGCCCAGGGGGATCTCTGGGGGCAGGGTCTTCCTTGCCCGCCCCCGAAAGCATCCAGCCCCATCCCTGGGTTCCCAGCCCCCCCGGGATGATGCCATGCCCCCTCCAGCCCCCCTGGGATGATGCCATGCCCCCTCCATCCACCCCCCCCAGGACGATGCCGT